CTATATCGATGTCATCCTTGTTTACTTGCTTTATGTTTGGATTTGGGTTGCTATAGACAGATACTCTTCAGATCTGGATTTAGGATGAACATCTATTAGGTTCTAAACTCTAGAAATAGATTTAGATCTAATATTCACATTGGGTATAGATTCTTAATGCTCTGTGTTGTTTAGTTTCGTGAGACATCACCGATGAGACAATACGGTAGAACCCTCGTAGGTGCTTCAGACATGAACACTGATGTGAGGGATACATGATGAAATTGACGAGTGTTTTAGGTTGCATACAGTTGATTGGTAGATTTAAGTATTTGATGGGTAGCTGAAATCCAATCCCGACGAGTTCTCTCATCTCTAAAGAATAGAGTATTTACTTGTTCATATGTTTTACTTTCAGCATTTTACACTTTTAAATCATTCAAACCAAGCTTAGAAACTTGGAGATTATTGAACGGAATTTGATCCCTCGCACTAATCCATGTGAATATGATAAAAGAAAATACTTATTTTTGCTTGTTTCTTTACCACGACAACATGGGACCAACGTCATGTGCATGCATCTGTCCAAGCGGTGCATAAGGAAGCTTGGGTACGTGCAGGCCATTCCTAGGTCACCCTTTTAGGCTGCTTCTATCAATATTATCCACAGAGACCTGGAGGACATTTTGGCTGATTTTGGGAATCATCTGGTACCAATGGAGTATCAAACCCATGAGGCCACATCTCAATGGAGTTATGTTGATGGTTACATGACATGGTTCTATAACGTGTCACACCCTTACATGACACAAGACGCTCTTGAACGTATGTCTAGACCTTCTCATTAGGAGATCCTAGAGCACGAGAAGGCCAAGGAAGAACATGTTGTTGATGTGTTATGACGCTATCAAACCATTATGCGGTTTACACATGTGGGCATCGAGTCCAGAGTGTTTGCGAGAGGTAGAGATGAAGTGTTCGCCATAGCACACTCCATTCTTTCCAAGGTATAGAGTGTCGTGGCTTACCGTAAACAAAGGAGGAGCAAGTTTGTTAGGATTAGGCATACATAGCAGAGTATGCATTTGATTTTATTTTGTTTATTTTTGATCGACTTGGAGAATAATGGTTGTACTATTATATTTGGTTTCTATAATATTCAGTTTTATTAAACCATTACATGGTTATATAATATTATTTTATATTAATTGTTGAAACAAATAATGACATTTTTTATCAAATTAAAATTAGTTTGGATTGAAAACACTACAATTTTAGAAAACTAATGCTGAAAAAATCACATAGTCAACAATTTGGAGATGCATCTCTGAATTTACCCTTGGGATGAATTCGGAGATGTATCTCTGAACTAAAATGATACGAAAATGATATTTGGTGCATTCGGATATGCATCTCTGAAATCATCCAAGAGCGTTTTTAGATTTTCAGAGGTGCCCCCATATAGAAAGAGTGGGATGATAACTTGCCTTATTTTTCTTTCTAATGATACTTGCATCATACCAATTCATCTTGTTGGTTCAGGTGACTTAATATGTGTCATATCCCAAATTTATCCGCCCTTTATTTCTACAGTCAAAAATATTTTAAACATTATTTTTAAAATATTATTTAATTTTTATAGATATTCGTTCTCAAGTCCAGTTAAAAATATAATAATTTATTTCAAATTATTTGTATTTTTAAAATAACAAATATTTACACACCTTTCATATACTTTCAATTGAGTTTATTTATAAATGAGTAACATAGCACAATTGGTAAAGAATGAAGCTTGCAAATATGAGGTTGTAGGTTGAAATCTTGTGTGTTGCATTTTTAACATTTTTTTATTTCTTTTTTGTTGTTAATTTTCTTTCCTTTTGTGGAGTTCGAACTTTGGGCTTCTCATTATACTTTTGGATAACTTACTCCCTAAGCTTTAACATAATTCAAGTCTATAAATATGACTCTTATTTGTCCTAATCTTTCATCCACAAATTACACAATTTAACACTCTCTCATAATTTCACTCATCCACACACACACACACACAATTAATCCACGATTTCTAACAAATCCACAAATTCAGAATTCATCAACAAATCAACAATATTACAATTTTTCACTCACTCACTCATTTTCATCACTGCTTTTACAATTTCATTTTTTCTCAAAATCATCTTAAATTTCCCTAGTTTTGGCCAATGATTGACCTATGAGGCCACTTTTTTATTTTCAATAGCATCCTTTAAATTTATTGTTTTTACCCTATAATGTGAAGCTTATGGTTTTTACTTGTACACTAAATATTACACACCAATTTTTCTACATAATTTTTTTTACAGTCACATTAATCTTCAACTTTTTTTATATACTCAACAACAAATTTTCAATTAACCTTTAATAATTTTAACCTACAATGTTTGCATGCTAACTGTAATATGGTGGAAGAACTGACTTGGTTTTGCATTTTATCGTAAATGTTGCGGATAGCAAGAGTCGTCACTGACTTTTCTTTTATCCAATAAGGAAAGGGTGAAAAGAACAAGAAAGGCCTTCGAGATTTTATTGATTTGAGGGGGTAGGCTATGAAAAGGGAATGTGTTAGCACCCTTTTCATCCATAGTTATCTACGGGCTCTTAATCGCTAGCTCACTTTTGTTTTGAAAATGCTTTGTGAATGTGTTTTGAAAATATTTTGAAAAAAATTCCTAAGTACGACAACTTTGTAATGATTCTGTTATCAGTTAAGAATGCGTACAAAGTGTTTGTTTTTGAAAATATTTCAGAGCAAGTGTTTGTGTAAAAGATGTTTTAAAAAGTGAACAACATCCTTAGTGGCTGACCGCGACTGATAAGACTTCCCCAACCAATAACTCTCAGACAAGCCTTGGGAGTAACTATTTTGGGCGACCAAAGACCCAAAAGACAGGGCTCAATCTACTCCAAATTATCTAAGGTATAAAGTCATCACAGAAAAAGCTTTAGATACACTTATGATCTCCACTTTTTACTACTTATTTTGAATTGTGCACTTACCTATACATTGAAGTGCTAACGGTTGTACCCCAAAAATTTTCCCCAACATATACTCAATGAAGCCCTCAATCTGCTCAAGGATGCCCAAGGGTTGACCAGACAAATGCTCTCCTAAGACAATGAACCTCAAACTAGGGTTTCCATTTTCATCAAGATGGGTGAACTCCAAAGGTCTCAAATCTTTTCCATGGCTCTGATATGTTCTTAATATAATCCATGTCAAGTTTCATGCCTTGCACAAGAAGTTTGCTCAGCCAACTGCTCAAATGCCTGAAAATCAATTGTGCTAGGTCAAAAGTCAATTGTGGCCCACATACAGTCAAACTTCAAGATTTTTGGTCAACATCAACATTTTGAGGTGATATCCATAATTTTATTAAGGGTTGATCATGATTCCTCAAGAAATGCTCCTAATTCATCAAAACTCAAAAGTTGCTAAGTTAGGGTTTCTATAGGAAAAGTCAACCCAACTTTGACCAGGCATAACTTTCTCATACTTTATCAGAAATTTCTCATCCAAAGCTCATTTTGAAGAGGATTCAATTTCCTACAACTCATATTCATCCCTCAAGTTCAAAAAATATACTCATGAAAAGATATAAAATCAGACATTATGGGTCCTTTTTAAAAGTCAACAAAAACACCTTTTGGGTCAAGCATCCTTACATGAACATGGAAGATCCAATTTAGATGAGACCAAAATGGTTGTTTAGAGGACATTCTAAGCTTTCTAAAAAGTCCAAGAACATCTTCTTAGGGTTAAAATTGAGAGACATATGTATTGTCAAAGTTGACCAATTTTTAGAAATGTGCATGAAGTCAACATTCATCAAAATGACTTTTTTCCAAATGGACCCATGTTTTATTGTTTGAAACTTGTTCCTAAGATGGCCCACGACCCCTGAGCTTATCCACCTATTATTTTATTATTTTTATTATTTATTTTGATTTTTTATCCATTTAAATCAAAATAAATCAATTTAAATAGTAGAATAATGAAATAAAATCCAAAATTTGATTTTATGAGCATATTATGGGTCAATGAACAGCTAGCCAATCATCCAAATTCGTGCAAAAGCTAATTGATTGGAAAAGATATTAATTTGGTCTATTTTAGAAACAAATCATACAAGGCAGAGAATGAAATCAAATCTCCATAATTTGCAAAGATATAATCAGTTTTTGTTGACCTAAATCATTCTATGATATATATACAGAATATTTCCAAAGCATAAGAAAGAGGTTTTGGTCGTGAAAACAAAAGAATCGACTTCAATTTTTTGTCAAAAAAATGTTGATCACATATTCCTCCATAGACTTATTCAAGTCATTCCAAGATCACAATCAGCTTTAGTGAGTTCCTCCGGTCAATTCAAAACCTTCACAAGCGACCATAACATTCTCTTTCTATAAAATCATTACATTGGGGAAAAAAAGTCATGTTTTTCCTGCAAAATGAATTTATATAATTTTATCAAACCTAGGTAGTAGTTAGAATATTACCCTAACACAAATGAACTTTTGTTTTGTTTATTTGTCTGGCAGGAAAAACCAATACATAAACATTGACCAGTCAATGACGAATTTTGAGTTCCCTGTGTAAAAAATTCTCAAATAATACACCCACCAACCATTGAATCCACATTAGTACTATTACATATCTACCCTTCTCAAATTTTAAATCCATTTAAATTAAAAAAAAAATGATTTTATATATTTGATTTTCTTATGATATTCAAAGTTAGGAGATTCACATGTGACAACACAATTATAACCTCTCAAATATTACATATGTCACTTCATTCACATATGCTATGCCTCAACAACATTGTTTCATCAAAATTTTCTCTACCAACCGCAGCATCTATCTCTGCAGTATTTTTTTTGCAGCTGTTTCAGTAATAATAATCATAATCATAATCTCACTATAAACAACAACTTATTCATCCAAACACACCTCTTTCAAACTTCACTTTTCATCATCATCCATTGGAAGGTCCATCAAATTTTCTCCTTTTAGTATTTAGACTATTATGTAAAGAATTTTGATATGACCCATTTGTTAACTCATCACTCTTATAACTCATGCACCCTCCATCAAGCACCCCTATAGGACTTTGAGGCACTAATGGTGTATACTTAGATGCACCAACCTTGATCAAGGATAGATCTTTTATCAATTCAACACACTTTAGAACTCTCTCCTGCAAAATTCACCAAAAGAATCATAATGTCAAACACAATGACAAAACCAATAGCAAAATTTGTTTACGCATTACCGGAAAGGCAGATAGCTCAACTGATATGTGCTAGTTGGGTTAAATGAGAGTAACGACTAATGAGTAACCTGCTCGTTCAAGGTTCAATCACCAAAAGAATCATTGTTTTTATGTGGGAACCACGAACCCGGATTCCCTAGAAACACGTGATGAATCTCGGCCATTGATTTACACAATTAGTGAATTAATTATAAACGACCAGATGGCCGGGTTTTGTAACAACAGGGAATCTATTTTCGAGAACCACTCACTACCTTACCTTATCTACGATGAAGAAATAGGCTATGGCCTTATCGACTTCTTGGCCCGACAGTTCCTTTAAAACAGAAATTGCTACCCCTGCGGCAATTTCAGAAGGCCTGAATTCCAAGAAATCAATACCTGCAAGACGCAATTGAATTTTCCAACAACTCTTCAAACGCATTACTCTCACATGAACAATGTAGTACACAAGGACAACATATTCAGAGTAACAACAATGAATAGTATAGTATATATATACCCTTGATTATGTTAAGGATGAGTTGCACTGATCTTGCAATCGACAACTTTTCGGGATGATTCTCCTCGCAGCTGATCTTAGATATGAAGTAGTCTATGAAGGAACAAGGAGTTAAAGCATGCATTTTCCATCCTAATGTGCTTAGTATCATTAGTTCCATTCTTTGAATTGTTTTCGCTTGGAACACGAATCTCGGTTCACCGACCTATCCATTATCAATATCAATAAGAAAACGACGTCGTAACAAAACAAAATCACATGTAACAAGAATCTTAGAAGATTCATTGAATCTATTGAATCTTATATACCTGTAAATCTATGCAATGCGGCACTTTAACTTCTTCCATTTTAGCCGCAAGTGAAAAGCAAGCCACGGCTAACAATTGCACAGTCCAACTCACACCTCTCTAAACATTCCATAAACAACAATTAGACTATAAAAAAGAGAGATCAGAGACATAAACCAAGTCAAAAAAACAGAAGCAAACAAACTTATTAAATCGATTTTACCGGTAATTGATAAGCCGATAAGAACCGATCCAAGTAGTTCACCGATAAGCAAAGACTCAGGGGTCCAAATCCATAATAAGCATGAGCCTGTTTATCACATTATAGAAAGCAAAATTCAGTAACAAACCAACCTATAACTAATGAAACACACTTTTGATGACTAAATTCACATTAGAATCACTTGAACTACCAATGTAAGAATCTGATAAACATTAAAAAGGTTTCATTTTTCAATAACCATTGATTAAAAACATGAACTTTAGGGTCACAAAAGAATCAAAAAAATTCCATTTCAGAAAACCAACAAACCAACCTTCCAAATCCAATCAAGAGCCTCTCTTCTAACACTCAAATCCAAGTCACCACTACGCAATCTCATCAAATAATCCTCTCTAGGCAAATGCTCAATCTCTTTGTCAACCATAACCCTCACAATTTCCTCACTCTGTGCAACAAAACACACAAACGAATCCGATCCAACGTTGTCCAAGTTAAGGTTCATCATGTGGTCCCATGAAGTTGAGATTCCAGAACCATCAACAACACCAATGCATTCCACATCCTCATCAAAGCATGTTCTATTGTTTTCAGAACATAGAAGATTAGATGTAGCACTGTCAAAGCTTTCAGCCATGGAAGAAGCTTAAATGGGGAGTGCTAATAGAGAAACACCATCAAAAGGGTGAGATTAAAAATCAAAACTTTATCAAAAGGGTGACATTAAAAATCAAAACTTTATTGTTGGGTGGTTATGATTAGATGAAAAAAACCAAAATGACATTGGTGGAGCATATGGAAGGAGAGTGTGGGAGTGATGAAAGGGATGAGCTTTATGTAGGAAATGGGTTTGTGGGTTTAGGGTAAAATAAATTGAGGGAAATTGATGGGGCAAAAAGGATCATGGGTATCCATGGACATAGCCAAAACCCAAAGAGAAAGGAAAATTTAACACAAAGAAAAAGGTTTTTATGGTTATGGTGTTAAAATGGTAATAAATAAAAAAATTCAAGCAAAAAATTAAATAGTGAAAACAAAATTTGGTGATTTCATTTTATGCTTAAACATTTTGTTTTGTTAATTATTTTTAGGGTTAAATATGTTTTTGATTCCGGTAAATATCTCAAATTTTATTTTTAGTTTTTATTAAAATAATGATAAATTTTAGTCTCTATAAGCACGTAGTTTTAGTGTCTGTTGTTAAATTAATGTGTATTTTTGAATGATTATTTTGTAGACATGTTTAGAACGTTATAAAAAATTCTTTAGAAAAAAATAAATTCAAAATTTGATTTCTAAGTCAAAATTTTCATTATTTTTATTAATATCTTTTGAAATTTAAAAAAAATCATATTTAATTCTTTTCATTTTAAAAAAAATTAAAATTTGATAAAGAAATATTTTATAGTAGTCTAAACACGTATGAAAAATATTATTCAAAAATTTAAAAATTTAAGAGTAATTAATTTTTTTAAAATTTTAGAAAATAGTAAAGATTAAAATTGGATGAACAAAAAATTTTAGAGACTAAAATTTATTATTTTTTAATAGAGATTAAAAATAAAATTTGAAATATTTATAAAAATGAAAAACATATTTAACTATTATTTTTAAAGAAAGACTAATAATTTACTTAGTGGTATTTAAGTTTAGAATATAGTCTAAAAGATATTTTATTTTGTGATTTTGTTTATGATAATTAATTTTGAAGGTGATTAAATTATGTATGAGAAGGGTATATGTTTTTTTTGAAAAAGTTAACAAAAAAAATACTAATAAAGAGAAAAGAGAATATCTCATGCAAATAAGAAAACTTTCAACTAAATAAATTATTCAAAACACAATCAACCATTAAATTTTAAAAACATACTTGATAAACATCTTTAACTTATGATATTTATAATTAAAATTAAATTTACAAAATCACATAGTATTTGATTTTTTATCTTATAAATAAATATTCTATAATTCTATAATAGAATACGAAAATCTAAATTTAATATACTATATGATACATTTCAAATATGGTTATTATCCTTAGTGAAAATAATCGATATAAGTAAATTAAAAAAAAATATTTGAAATTTGTATATAAAAAAGTAAAGATGGGTCTAATTTACAATATTTTTATAATTCAATAAATATTATTAAGGTTTGAATAAAAATTAGCACAAATTAAACCTTAATGTTAATTTATCGAGTAAGAATTTAATTTCCTAAAAAAATAAATATTTGGTTAATATGAAATTATAAAGAAATATAATATTACACATGGGATGTGTGTAAGTGTTATAATATCATACTATAGTGTCATAATCATATTTCTTTTTAAATATGACATAATTGAATTTAATTCATGTGTAAAATTTTAGTAATTAAATCATTTCCTTAATTACATGAACCTTTGTGACTTTTCTCATTTTTATTTTTATTTATAACACTTTTATGCAAACATAAATGCATCCTAGTTTATTTCTTGACAATAATAAATAGACTCTAATTGTTAGAGTATTTATATTCCCATGCTTTTGAAATAATAAGTCATGGGAATTACTTTAGTTTATTGTATTTACACATGAGTCAAATAATAAAGAAAAATTCAAACTATTATTACGAGAAAATTATCTAAGTACCGACAATAAAAAAAAAATAGGGGTACATGTTAAAAAATTCGTTAAAAAAAAAAATTGCACTAGTAGATTTTTTTTACAAGTAACAAAACAAACCGTAATTTGATCTCACTTAGTATCAGCCAAGTTAGTCAAAAGAGACACATGAGTAAAAGGATGTCTTACTCACTTTAACCAAAAGAGATACACATGAACAAAAGGGATCTTTCATCTTCTCATTCTTTTGATATCAATTATGAACACACAATAGAAGAAGACACAACAATACAAGTATAGTGGAATGTTTTTTTTTCTTCAAATATCCAGAGTTCGAATTATCAATTTAAATAATCTTTTAAAATTGAGGCACAATTTTAAAATCGGTTAAAATAATTAAAATTTTAAAAATAAATTAGTAAGAGATCTGTATATTTACACTGATCGCACAGTATAATTACAGACGTTAAATAAATATAATATAATGATGTATTTCACGCTATTATACAAAAATAATAATAATAAATAAGATTATAATTAATATTAAGTTGTGAATAAATATTAATAATATTTTAAAATGATTTAAATTTTGATAATGTTAAAAATATGTTATGTTGAAAAATTTAATATAAAAAATATAAAATATTGTCAAATAAATTTAATGAATAATATTTAAGAAAAGACATAAATAAAATTATTAAGAGTTAAAGGAAATTTGGATATTACTTATCAATCATATTACTAAAATTATATCATCAAAGAAACATACGTATTGACTTAAACATCAAATATGAAAACTTCCTTTCTTGCCGGCTTAACATAAAACATATGTGAATCAGATCGGTAATGAAAAAACAAGACATCATTAATTTTGAAATTTTTGACTTTTGTATACTCGTATCAACCATTTCTTAAATACTTTATTCATTCTCTTTTATAAGAAAATTTTAAATTTTTAGATTAATTTAATAATTGATGTATCTAACTTATATATAGTCTAAATACATTATTTATTCAATGAATCTAAAAAGTCAAAATTTTCTTATAAAAGAGAATGGAGGGAGTACATTTCACTATGTGATTTTTTTTCTTTTAATAATCTCATAATCATGGTACGTCATTTCATCATTGTCCATCAAAGTCAGAAAAGTTTGATCCGCGCGTAGACCCTTCCTAACCATCTCAATTGGAAAATATTAAAATATTTAAATGTTCTGTCAGTTTATACAGAATAAAAATATATATATATTAAAAAAAAAAGACAAGCATATAAAATGCTTTTCAAGATGTTATATGAATTGTTACCATGACATTTTTCCGCCCTTTAGTGTTTTTGTGATTTATTTCTCTCAAAACAAATCTTGCGTCAATACTTGTATGTTGGGATGCGAATGTTGTAACATCATATTTCCCCGTTGGTAATTTAACCAAGAATTAGAGTAAATTAATTCATAAAAGAAAACATCAAGAATAGAATATCACATCTCCATACATCATACATGCTCATATAAAAAGATACGCAACACATAACCACTTATTCATCATGTCTTAACTTTGTTTTATTTATTCGCAGCGGAAAATATCACTAGCAATTATTCTCAACATGAGTGATAGTTATCGTAATTCAAAATTCAACGTAAAATATTAATTAAATCCAACAAATGGAGTTCTACAATAGTTTACTCCCAACATAATAAAACAAGCGCAAAACCCCAAAGTGTTACGTGTCAGAGCTGACACCGACTCAATCTACGCAAAATGAGGCACTTCTCCACTAACCGCGACCTCGAGCTACTTCGGATCATCTGCAAGTTATCCACGTAGAGGCGACATTCAAACAGAAGGGGCGAAATATCATAACAATATAAAAAAAATAACATAATAACAAGTAGATATAAATTTAAGTATGCATAATTATACTTCTTTACCCGACACATTTACTTCATCCATCATACCACAAAGTACATCAACATATAAGCAAATATGCACACAACACATAATAATTATCATAATATAACTCATACTCTTTCAGCATCAAAACATCAAATTATCAATCATAATATAATGAAATGAGACTGACACTGACTCAATCCATGCAGTACCAACAGTGCATAAGCCATCATCTTTACGCCAATACATGTTATCTCTCGCCAATACATACCATCTTTCACCAATACAGGCCATCTTACAGAGCATAAGCCCTTATTATGAATGCATGCGACACCAACACGCACCAACATAAAATGCATTGATATTACCACTCACCAATACCACGTCAATATTGATCATCATTATCATCATCATCATGTAGTATATCACATAAAACAATTGAACCATTTATCCAACATCATCTTACTCAAACACAACATTAATCATAACACATTACTCATGAATATACACAGATAGGCATCAATGTTAGTCAAATAATTAGCTACTGTATTCCAATTTATTTTTATAACATAGAAAATGATTTTAGCTTTTCATTGATCCAAACGGCGCGTCAAACAGATACCCGAGTCGAAAGTTATGAATTTTATAATTTTTGAAAAATCTGCCAGCTTCAGTGATAACTGGTTACCACCAGGCCAGTAACCGGTTACACCCCTGTAACTCAGAATTACTATGCTACTGTCTCGTTGGATAACCGGTTAACTTTAGACCATTAACCGGTTACACCTGCTATAATCTGTCTTTTTCCTAAAATTGTACACGGTAACCGGTTACCACCAGACCAGAAACCAGTTACCACTATTGTAGAACTCAAAAATCTGCAACTTTTCAAAATACGAATTTTCATGTTTCAAAACCCAAACTCCCAATTTTTCAATCAAAACAGTATCTTTTAATCATACCAATTATTCACCAATATCACCTATCAATTCCATTCAATTTACTTCATCCAATTTCACCAATCACACACAAAAATGCATCAAAGAATTCATCAATGGGTAAAACCTTAATAAAACAAAATAGAGAGAAATCAAGAATACACAATCACGAAACTTAAACACTATCATACCCAATTATTATG